AAGCAATCCTTCCACCCTGGCCTCCCAAAGTGCTGGGATTACAGGTGTGAGCCACTGAGCCCAGCTGCCCCCATCCCATCTTCTTATCCTGCTATTGCATCCCGCATAATGAACTCTTGAGGGCAGGGTGCATGTTAACCAGCCTAAAGGGCTTCGAGCAGAGCCGTTTCGGGTACGAAGATAGTACAAGATCCCCAACCTGGACTGGATGAAAAGGGAGACAGAGAAATCAGAAAGGGTGGAAGGAAGAGAGAAAGAGAAATAAAGGAAGGAAGAAGCTAGAGCAAAGAGGGGAGGAAAAGCTTAAAGAGCAACGCTGGGCAGTACTGGTCAGAGGCCTCCCTGAGAGGGCACTGCAAGGTTTACTATGAACACACGTTTCTAGCCAGTGGTTTGGGGGTGCCCCAGCCCATCCTCAAGGCTTACACTGCCCTTGGAAGAACTGGCTGACCTCAGTGACCTGCCCCATTCCACTTTTGGAAGACAAAGGAATTGGCTCTAAGAAGCCTTGTGAATCAACCAGAGCACATAAGCAGGGCGTGGAGAGTGCAGGCCCAACAGCCTAAAGATACCCAGCAACCCCAAGTGATCCTCTCTGTAGCTGAATAAAGTCCCCTTACCAATTAATCTCTTTGTGTGTGTGAATTCAGTGAAATCTACTGCAGACCTAAGGTCCACTTGCTCTGGTAGGGAATGTCTTCCTTCCCTTTCACGTATGAGATCCTTTCTCTGGCTCTTCCAGGATTTGCAAACCTCCTGCCAAGCTCTTGGAAGATAAATCCAGCCCCTCCTGGCATGGAGAAACTCCTTGACTTGGAAGGTGGTTTTCTGGGGCAGGGGTGAGGATAAGGAAAGCAAAGGAGGCAGACTTTTCTTCTGACCAATGGAAGAAAATGAAGATCTCTCTCCCAGCCCCCACCTTTGCAAAGTGGACCAGGCCTTATCTTCAACCCTCTCTCACGTGCACATACCCAGGCAGGCTCACCCAAACTAGAGAAAAACACTCTAGTGCAATGGGCTCATTTAACAAAGATCAAACTGAGGCCCAAGGTCACAGAACGACAGCACCTCCAAGCTCAGAACGAAGCTGCCCAGTCTCCAGACAGCCTCTGCCAGCAGGGTCAGAAGGGAAGCGCTTGGGACTGTGGGTGAGGGGATTGAGCCCGGGAGAAGGGGCCGCCAGCGTGGGAATCCGCAACCAGTCCCTGCCTCGCTGGCCTCTTCTACTTCATGCGCAGTTTTTAGAACCAGATCTTGACCTGCATGTCACAGGGCCTCAAGGCCACGCGTCCAGCTTGGCGGGCCGTGCCGGGAGCAGGTAGGGCTACAGGAACAACTCCAGGTAGCTCAGCTGCTTTGAGAAGCCCGTAAGCAGGCGACTGGCCCCTGCCTCTACTTCCCACGTTTCACAGGCCGCCGTCACTCAGGGCTGGGTCCTGGAGATGGTGGAGCGGTGGTGGTAGGTCAGGACCCCGGCAGCCCAAGGTGAAGCTAGGAGAGGCCCCAAGTGGCCTCTTTCTGCTCACCCTTCATCTCCTCTTCCCTCCTCATGCTCCTCAGGAACCCGGCCCCTTTTTGTTAACTGTTAACCTCAGCTGAGTTCGTGTTTCTCCTTCTTTCTGCCCCCCTTCTCCTCACGCCCCTTCTTCCTTCTTTATCTCACTGTATCTTCATTTCTCATTTTCCCTTTCTTCTTTTGCTTCATTTCTGCCCTACCTTCACTTTCTCTTTTGCCTCCATTCCTTTCCCTTTCGCATCCTTCTTTCCCTTCCTTCTTGCCCTTGTGCCTATCTTTCCTCCTTTTCTACCTTTCTTTCTTTCTGTTTCCCTTCCGTTTCTTTTTTCTCACTTTTACCTCCCTTTCTTTCCCTTCCTTTTTCTTTTACTCTCTAGCTCTCCCCTTTCATTTGCTGTTTCTTTCCCTATTTTTCTCTTTTCTCTTCCTTTCTGCCTTTATCTCTAATCTTTTTTCTATTTTAACAGGGCACAGACTATCTCCAATCTTAAAAATGCAAACAAACCTAGTCCTGCTTCTGCCTTCTGCCTTTTATCAATATTCCTTTCATGTTACCTCCATCCCAGCCACCCTCCACCCTGCAGAGTACCTTTCTGTCTGCAGCATTAGGGCCTTTTCATCTCTCCCAGTCTTTTCTCTTTGTTGTTCTGATTTTTCCAGTCCTTTGTGCTGTTTTCCTAGACCTTCTTCCTATCTTCCTTTGTTTCTAAATTCCCTCTCGGCAATAGGCACATGGCATAACACTGGCCCCTCCCCAGGCGAGGTTTTTGTCCTGTGTCAGCCCAGTCATCCTTCATGCATTTATTTCTCAACTCCTCTCAACTTGAGACTCAATCTCAAGGGCCTGGGAATAGAGCTGTTTCCCCGTTTTCCCCTACGTGAGAAGTCAGGATTGGGTCCACAGTTCCCCACTACAGGCTTAGGGAAGCCTTGCCAAACTGCTGTCACTCCATCAATCCTAAGAAGAAAGGGGAAGAGGAGAAAGGAAAGAGGAAAAGAGAGATATTCCCATAGATCTGTGGGATTGGGTTGGGGGGGGTGGGGCGGGGGGGGTAGTATTGGAGAGGCAGGAGCAAAAAGGACCACATTCATCAAAGGGGGAGTGGGGTAGGCAGAGGACCAGACACACCCCTCAGAGCACACAGAGCCCCAGCAGCCTGCAAGACACCCAAGCCGGCTCCCACATTTGCTTTGGGACTGGGGATGGATGAGGCCTTCCATCTAAATCCTCTGGGCTGCAGAGGTGTGAAGGGCCACCGGATGTGAGGACAGAGAAAAGGGCTTACATTCATTTTGAATATCAGCGGCCTCAAAGTCCCCTTTTTTGGGAGACCAAGCCAAACTCCTTGTAGGCAGTGCCAGCCAAAGCCCTCCTAAACTGCTCAGCTAGGCCGTCCAACTCTTCTGGGGCTTGCCAATGAGCAGATGCTGAGCAGCTGCCAGACTAGCCGCTGGGCCACCAGGAAGAGGTTTTCCACCGGCAGAAAAACTTCAGGAAGAGTGAAAACAAAGTCCTGGACAGATTCTCGGCTTCTGACCCGGCAGGGCCAAGTAGCATCTGGAAGTGTGGGTCCAGGAAGGGCCAGAACACCACGTGTTCCCGTGGGAATTTTCTCTCCTGGGACCCACATCCCTTCCTGGCCCTTTCCAAGGAGTCCAAATGTGTTCTCTGCCTGGCTTCTCCAGCCTGGGGCTCCCCAGGAGGGGCCCAGCCTAAGGCACAGTACAGACCCTCCCCGCCCGGCTGGCCTGGCTGGACCTCTCTGCCCAGGGACACCAAGGGCTCCAGGGTACCCCACACCCCCTCCACCTGCAGTGGCCTCTGCCCTCCTCCACTTGCCCAAGCCACTCAAGAGCTTCTGCACCTTCGTGGGCCTGCCCCTCCTGCTTGTCCTGGGCCCCAAGTTCAGCTGTGTCCTCTGAACCTCCTGCCCTCTGCTCTTGACTGCCCTTTGAAGAGCCTCTCCATCCATTCCTCCTGGGGCATCTCTTGGGTGGGGGAGGAAATCTCAGCCCTGGGAGGGGAGTTGGGGCCTCTTTTCCTTGCCCTCTTTTGGGAGCTGGAGAAGACCTGGAAGTTGTGCTAGAGGTGGGAGGGGGCACTCTCTGGGTTCCATCTTAGGGAAATGGGTCTCTGACTCAAACTGGATTCACGGGAAAAAAAAAAAAAAAAAAAAAAAGATTTTTTGGGAGTTGTTCTTTCTTTCGGGTCACTCCTAACTTAGAATCAACGTAAGGTCCCTGGGCAGCAGGGACCTGGGCAGTCCCTGACTAAGGCTCTGGGCGGATCCCCCGCCCATCCGGCAGTGTTGGAAACTCGGGCTGGCGCTGCCTTCCCTGTTTGCGGGGCGCGCCTGGGGATCTCCAAGCGTCTGTCCCTAAGGGCCTGCAGGGGCGGGCGGGTTTGGGACGGAGCTGGGTTTTTCTAGGCTAGCAAAGGGTCCCGACTGGGGAACGAGCACACACGACCTTCCTTCAGAACGGGAAGCGGAGCACCCTCTCTCCCATTTTAATCCTCAAAACCCCAACTCCGCTCCCTTCTCCATTTCCCCTCAAAAAACTTTTCCGAAGTTCCCACAAGTTGCGTTTGAGGAAAGAAGTCGTCTCCCTCAGACTCTGGGTTTCTCGGCTCCTAACCCTCCCCTCAACCCCCAGTTTCAGAAGCAAGCCCCCCTCCCCTGCCAGCTGCCACCTTAGTCCCTAAACTCGGGGAAGCAAAAACTGCACCTGACAGAAGCCCAGCCCCAGCCCACATTTCTCCGGGCAAAGGCAGATGACCGTCAGCCTGCAGGGGAAACAGGGTGGGGTAAGGAGAGGGAGAGACCGGGGCGGGGAGACACGCTGTCTTCGGGCTGAAGCGCACCCGTCCCGGGCCAAGCTTACCTGCTCCGAACCAGCTCCTCTAGACTAGATTTCCATCCGCTCAAAAGTTTGTCCTTCTCGCAAACGATTCCTGGAAGGGCGCAAACTCGGCAAGTGAGGAGGGCAAGTGAGCCGGGTACCCTTGAAGGCGCAGGCGCCCGATCCAGAGCAGGCGGGGGGGAAGCGGGACTCGGGGGCACGATCGCCAAAGTGGGGACCAGAGCAGTGATGCGGAGGGAGAGCGTTCGGGCGCCGGGGCTGGGGCTACGCTGCTGGCGCGGGACGGCCCGGGACAGGGTGGGCGCTGTAGCGGGAGTGGCGAGCGGCCCGGGCGGGCGGGGGAACTGGAGGGAGAGGTCCCTGGGTCCCTGGCGACGTCTCTCGCTTCCTCCAGTGTCTGCCCCGCCGTTGTGCCCCAGCTCACAACATTCCCTCGATCCCTTCTGGGGCGGCGCTCAGGGCCCCCACAAGGCGAAAAGGGAGGGTGAGGGGATGAGGGGCCCCTCCCGCCTTAGCCCCTCCTCAGCCCCCAAGCCACAGCCCCCCCTTTCTCCCCAGAGCCCAGGGACAGACAGAGAATTGCGACTAGAAATTCGATCGATTGGTACGAGGGACCACGTGGTCAGGGGTTGGCCAATGACCAGGCCGCCCGGGATGAGCTAATAATGGAAGCAATTTGTAACTTTCAGTAGCTCTCTAGGCCTGGGTACCGGAAGGAGGGAGGCGGGCAGAGGAGAGGAGATGGGCACCCCCAGTCCTTCCATCCTCCTCATTCGTCTAGGGGCATCCGGATCCCCTGTTTCTTATTTCCCCTATCACCCAGGAACTGGCAGGTCATTTGCCCACTCCTGTTGGCCATGGCGGCTCCAAAGCGAGGTAAGCTGGTCCTCTGCCCCTCAAACTCTTCACCACCCCCACCCCCTTTACTAGCACCTGCCAACCACAGCCTCCCTTCCTGTCCCATTAGTCAATTTAAATCGGATTTGGTTTTTCCTCTTAGTTGAAAGAAAAAAATATCTTTTTGTATTCTTTTGTGTAACCTATCTCGGACTCGGAGAAAATTTTCATTAAAATTAATACAAATTAATACTTTTATTAGGGGGTGGGTGGTACTTTCCTCTTTTTCAATCAATTTTTATACTTGGTGCTTTATGGAGAGTTTACTTTTCTTTGGGGATGTTACACTTTATGTTTTCACAGGTGTTACTTCTTCAGTGATGAGTTCAACTCCTTTCGCCACATCATCCTCCAATTTTGCTATTTATAAATATCACCTAATAGATTGAGTTTATTCGTTTTTCTCTTAGTTTTTTCAGCTGTTACAGAATCACCACAATTTTTTTTTTCTCTGTGTGTGGATGAGGTTTTGTGTTGATTCCTCTTTTTGTTTTGTAAATGAATTTATTGTTTGGGAAACTCTGGGGGGTGTAAAAAAGATCTCTTGATTAATTGCAACCTCTTTTAAAGAACAATCTGCTTGAAATGTTTTATGTATTTTCCTCATTTTTATTATGTTTAAATTTGAGGTGTTTTACCTTCTTTTAAACCTGACTTTTTAAAAGAATGTGATCTTTTGTATGTTAACCATTGTTAAGGTTTTTATTTTATAAACTTCAAAGGTTAGTAGATTTACTTACTTTTCTCTGACCTCCTTCCCACGCCTGCCTCCTGCATCTCAAAACCCCATCCCCAACTTCCACAATCTCAGCTTCCAACTGACTCATCCTCTCCTCTCCTCCTAGCCACGGAGGGATGCCCGGGAAGCACACAGTGTCCTTCTTGGGTCAGAACCTATGCTCTGGTTCTAGTTCAGGACACCTCTAGTCTGACCTCCAAGCTGGCAAAACCAGTGAGAGCAGAATTTCTGTTCAACTTTTTCATTTGGAACTAAGTTCTTCCCACTTGGCTGTATTCTGGACAACTCTCTGATAACATGAAACTGAATTTTAAATCCTCATCTTTTCCCTAAATTCTAAGAAAAATGCAAGCAGATTGTTTTTCTTCCTTAAATGTAAGCTGTTAGCTTAGCAGTCAGCCTCCTGGGTCTCTTACCTCCTGGGGGAGACTTCTCAGACAGAGACACAGTGTTTATTCTTCCTTTTAGTTTTGGTTAAGGTAGAAGGGGCAGGGATCGGGAACTGCATATTGATCTCTGGCTCTGGCTTTGAACAAAGAAGGGTGGAGAGCTGGCCTGGGGACTCTTCTCTTTGGTCAGTACGATTTGGCTTAAGAGAGAGTTTGGAGTAAATCCCAGCTCTGAGGAAATTCTTTTTCACATTACTGTGAAGATAAACCTTTAAAATGGTGTGACATGGTTTCAAACTATTCAGATTCATCGAAATAACAAAAATAAAATTACAAGAGTAATTCATGTTTCCACAAGATCTGCCTCCAGTGACTGCCCATTTCTCTCAGGGAAACAGAACCCAACTGGGCAGAAGTAAAACTGCCGCCCCTCCTCTCTCGGCTTCCCAGTCACATTGACATTCTGGGCACATTTGGCCCAGCCCCCGTCCCTGTTTCTCTCAAGTATGAATCTAAATTACTATTAATAAGGGGCCGCTCCAAGTTAATTGGCATTAAAAGAATTCATTTCAATTTGTTAATATTAAATGAATGCTCTGCACTTTAGCTCCCTTCTTCGTCCTGGATTCCCAGATGAGTGATGGGAAGAGGGGGCAGGGAAGTAGAATGAAGATTTTATTTCTGGCTCACCAGCTTAGCCACTGTGGTGCCTACCCTGGGGGTGTCAGGCACAGGCACAGTGGGGGCCGGATTGGGGAAAGTCTGATGGTCTTTTTGGGTGAAATTCATTGGTTTCAGCAGGAGTTGTGGGGGAGGGTGGGAGGGGAGCTGAGGGAGAGGGACAGAATGGCTTGGGGGACTTTGTGGGGAGTGGAGGGACTAGGGAGAAAGTGGGAAGGGAAAGAGACAGAGGTCGGTAACAGTTTTGGAGAACAAAGGTGGTAGGCTGTGGGGGTAAGGCAGGTTTGTGAAGAACTGGTGCTAGGAACTAAACAACTCATCTAGAAAGGAAGGGACTTCGGGGATGGGGTGGGGAGGGGGTATTTGAGGCAAAACAGCTATGGGTTCTGAAACCTTTTTTTTTTTTTTTTTTTTCCTGAGACGGAGAGTTTTGCCCTTGTTGCCCAGGCTGGAGTGCAATGGGACAATCTTGGCTCACTGAAACCTCCACCTCCCTGGTTCAAGTGATTCTCCTGCGTCAGCCTCCCGAGTAGCTGGAGTTACAGGCACCTGCCACCAAACCCGGCTAATTTTTGTATTTTTAGTGGAGACAAAGTTTCTTCATGTTGGCCACGCTGGTCTCGAACTCCTGACCTCAGGTGATCCACCCGCCTCAGCCTCCCAAAGTACTGGGATTACAAGCATGAGCCACTGCACCCGACGGCATTCTGAAACTATTCATATTTAGCTGTGTGACTTGGGGCAAGTTGCTTAACTTTTCTCTCTGCCTTCATTTCTTCACTTGTAAAACAGGGATAATAATAATAGAACTTGGCCGGGTCTGGTGGCTCATCATGCCTGTAATCCCAGCACTTTGGGAGGCCAAGGTGGGCAGATCACCTGAGGTCAGGAGTTCGAGACCAGCTTGGCCAACATAGTGAAACCCTGTTTCTACTAAAAATACAAAAAATTAGCAGAGTGTGGTGGCAGGCACCAGTAATACCAGCTACTTGTGAGGCTGAGGCAAGAGAATCGCTTGAACCCAGAAGGTGGAGGTTGCAGTGAGCTGAGATCGCACCAGGCAACAGTGTGAGATTCCATCTCAAAAAAAATAATAATAACAATAGAACTTATCTCAGGGGGTTATTCAGAATCAGATGAAATACATGTCCGGTGTTTTCCACAGTGCTTGGCACATAGAAACTGCCAGTAAATATTAGCTCTTTTCGTGGCACAGTGGTTAACAGGATGGGTTCCACAGCGAGGTGGTCTGGTTTTGAATCTCGGTCATTCCTTATATTAGTTGTATGACCCAGACAAGTGACTTCACCCCTTGTGTTTTAGTTTCCTTGTCTGTAAAATGAGGTTAGTACTATCTAGTTCAAAGGCTGCTGAGTCATGCGTACAAAGAGCCTGGACAACACCCATCCCATAGGAAACACTATATAAGCGTTAGTTATCATTGATATTATTGTGCTTCTGATCTAGAAAGGTCAGAAAAAGAGGCACAGCTGAGCTATTACTAATAGGCTAAGACTGGAATCCGATAAACCCTTTCACTCCTATCCCTGGAGCTAGTCCTATAACTGGGGCTGCGTAAGAGGGCTTAGGGAGAGATCCCATAACCCTGGAAGCGGGGATGTCCAAGTGCTTCCTCTGCTGTAGCTCTTGAGTTGGTGGTACCTCTAACACCCGTAGATTTGAAGTCACTTCTTTTCCCCTGGGTGGGGTTGGGGAGGGGCTGGTAATGGGAGAATTACTTTCTTGGTCTAATAACTCCCTTTGGTAGACAGTTAGTCCTGGGAGTGTGAGTTGTGGGAGGTTGGGTAGAGCAGAGGAGACTAAATATCCTCTATGTACCAGCCCGCACACACTTGACCTCACCAGAGGGTGGGGGAGACAGAGATTCGAAGAGATGAAGTGATCTGACACAGTCCTAAAGCTAGAACTCAGCGGAGTTAGAATCTGAACTCTGATCTGCCAACGACAAACTTGAAGCCCTTCCATTGCTGCATGTTTTTTGAAGGGAGGGATGGGACACATGTAAATTTGGGCCAGGACCATGGAGTAGATGGAAGATGGGCGCGGATAGAGAGCTGGAGTGGGAAGTGGCCAAGCAGGAATTTTTCAATCATGGAAGACTTCCTGAAAAAAACAGATTCTACATCAGGATTCAGATGGTCTGGGAATGAGGAGAGGAAGTAAAGATGAGGAAGGGAGCCATGCATTGGCAAAGAAGGAGAAGAAAAAAGGATTCATGCAAAGGCTGGGTCAGAGTAATGGACATGAATTTGATTTGTCCTGGGTTTGCCTTGCTGGCACCATTTATTGAGGGCATACTATGTACCAGGTACATACATGATCACATCTGTTGCTCACAACAGCCCTGACAAGTGGGTTTCTTATCACTATTTCCAAAAGAGTTCATTGAAGTTCAGAGAGCTTAATCCCTGCTTTAGGTTACACAGTGGTAGCTGGGTTTCCTGGCACCGGAATCCATGCCTAGGCTGCCTCTGAGCATGGCTTCTGTGTCCCAGTCTCAACTTCCATGGCTGGTTCAGGTCCTCCTGTTCTCCCACGTTTGTAGTCACTCCTGGTGACTGGGAACAAGGGGTTAGAGCGTGAGCTGAAACTGAGAGAGGGAGTGGCAGGCAGGCAGTGGGGACAGAAACTCTTCTCACATCCACCCACGTGAAGAAGAGGGATAGAAGGGTGATCTCTCTGGAGCGAGTCTTCCAAGCCACTTTCCCGAGACTGCTGATCTTTGGATGAACGGCAGGGACCTGATTGGGTGTGTGTGTTGGGAGGTGTTCACATTGTTTTCTGGGCTGTGGACTTCATTTCCCTTCCTCTGGGAAGAGGACAGTTCAGGTGTGGGTTTGAGCCCTGGATGAAGACTGCCCTTTGTCCACTAAAATCTCTTCTTTCCTTGCTGCACGAGGGTAGAGACACCCAGCTGGACACTCCATTTCCCAGCTGCTTTTGTTACCAGGTGTAGACACAGGGGAATGTTAGGCGAGTATGTCCTAAAGCCTGAGGACATTGGGTAAATTCTCCTTTGTGTTCTGTCTTTCATGTGCTGGGCAGATGTGCCTGAGACAGGCTTGACCTGGCAACTGAAAAGACATCCCTGAAAGAAGACAAAGCTCAGGTGTGAAAGGAATGTGCATCCCAGCCGACCAGGTGGAACAGAGCTGTCTGCTGTCTGGAACTGCGTCCTCCCAGACTAAGTGAGAAATAAACTTCTCTTTTCTATATGCTACTGTGTTTTGAGCCTTTATGTTATAGCAGTTTTGCTGTCGTCCTTCCTAATTCACCTTCTCACACCAGATATATCATTTAAAATTCAAAAGATTGCTGGGCGCGGTGGCTCACGCCTGTAATCCCAGCACTTTGGGTGGCCGAGGCGGGTGGATCACGAGGTCAAGAGATCGAGACCATCCTGGTCAACACGGTGAAACCCCGTCTCTACTAAAACTACAAAAAATTAGCTGGGCATGGTGGCGCGTGCCTGTAATCCCAGCTACTCAGGAGGCTGAGGCAGGAGAATTGCCTGAACCCAGGAGGTGGAGGTTGCGGTGAGCCAAGATCGCGCCATTGCACTCCAGCCTGGATAACAAGAGCGAAACTCCGTCTCAAAAAAAAAAATAAATAAATAAAATAAAATAAAAATAAAAAAAAATAAAATTCAAAATATTATATCAGGCCAGGTGCGACAGCTCGTGCCTGTAATCCCAGCACTGTGGGAGGCGGGGGCGGGTGAATCACTTGAGGCCAGGAGTTTGAGACCAGCCTGGCCAACATGGTAAAACCCCATCTCTACTAAAAAATACAAAAATAAGCTGGGCATGGTTGTCCACTCCTGTGATCCCAGCTACTCGGGAGGCTGAGGCAGGAGAATCGCTCGAACTCAGGAGGCGGAGGTTGCAGTGAGCCGAGATCATGCCACTATATACCAGCCTGGGCTACAAAAATGAGACACTGTCTCAAAAAAAAAAAAAAGAAAAAAAGAAAAGAAAAGAAAAAGGATTACATCAGATCATGGAATAACTGTAATGTAATAATATTTATTGAGCCAGATAGTATGCGAAGGACTCTATGCACATTATTTAGTATGATCCATGTGACAATCCTCTGAGGTATGTGTTAGTATTATTCCAATTCACACATGGGAAAGCTGAGGTTGAAGGAAGATAAGTTATGTGCCGAGGGATATACAGGAGAGAGTAGAACTGGATTTCAAGCCCACTGAGTGTGCAGAGCTGAGCCTTTTCACCATGGGGGCAAATTCCTCCTGAGGACAGAGTGGGAAAAGCCATGGAGACCATCTTTTTCTTGGACAAGCCCCTCTCCATTCAGCACAGGGGTCCGGGACTCCCATTCCTCCCTTCAAGAAGCTCAGCAGGCTACTTGTGTTCATGTTGGGTCACTACACGTGGTTTTATTTGAAGAAAGGACCCCAGAGTTTAAATCGATTTGAAAACCCCTGATAAATTCAGTGCCTGCCCTCTTTTTACAGGTGAGGCCCAGAGAGAAGACATGACTTGCTTAAGGTCACACACTTAGTTTCTCTGCCAATCTTTCTAAACCTAGGACAAGTTGTCTTCCCACTGTATCAGGCTGCCTCAACAAACAGGGAGGTACAAAAATAACCAAATCCGGGAAGGAGGGCAGTGGTCTGTGTCTCCTCCAATAATGCCATGGGACAGCCAAACCTATTTCCTTGATTTCCCTTGTGGCCCTCCTGTCAGATATCTGCCTTGGGACCCGTCTTTTTTGGGCATAAAGAAAGAATGGGCTGCATCAATTCTCTACCCTCCTCATCACCCAGATGGTCAAACATGCAAAAGGAAAGGAGAGCTGGGGCCAGAGCCAAGGCAGGCAAAGAGGCTCCTCGACCCCCTCCAGTCTTTCCACATTTATATTTTTGGAATCTCAGGCTCTCTCCTCCCGCTAGGCTTTCCTAGTAGCCCACCAGGGAGAAGAAGAGGGAAAACTGCCATAAATTTCTCCTATTTATACAAGAAGACAGAGTTTCTTGTGCCAGAAAAAACACAGAAAGCGAGCTGTCAGAGGAGAAGGGACCCAGCCCCATACCTTCTGGGGTCAATTTATCTTCCCGAATCGTGGCTTGGGGGCTACCCTAACATTGCCTGTATGAAATGCAGGCTTTGACTTGGGGCAGCTAGGACAGACAGCGCCTGAGCTTTGTCTCTGATCACTGTTTTCCTGCTTCATCTCAACCTCCCCCTACCCCTTACGCTCTCTTTTTTAAAAACAACTTTCTTGAGGTATAATTCAAATATCATACAATTCACCATTTGAAATGTACAATTCAATGGTTTTAGTATATTCACAGATATGTCAAACCATCACCATAGTTAATTTTAGAACATTTTCATTGCCTCAAAAATAAATCTTGTAATCTTTAACTATCACCTCTCTATCCCCCCATATTCCTCCTTGCCCTTAGCAACACTACTGTACTTTCTGTCTCTGTAGATTTCCCTATTCTGGACTTTTGTATGAATGGCATCATATGATAAGAGGCCTTCTGTGACTAGCTTTTCATTGAGCATAGTGTTTTCAAGGTTCATGTTGTAACATTAATCAGTACTTCATTCCTTTTCATGGCTGAATAATATTCCAGCCATGGAATATTAATTAATTAATCCACACAATAATAATGTGTGGATATACCACATTTTGTTTATTCATTCATTCATTGATGAACATTTGGGTTGTTTCCACCTTTTGGATATTATGATTCTTCCTTTCCTCTTATTCTCTAGACATCCTGGGTAGTATCAAATGAGGTCCGTGGGCAAAAATGGGTATTTCTTATATTTGGGAACACCTAATATCTGTGAAAGCATATCTTCTTTCATGTTAAATACATGTACTAGCTGGAATTTTCCTCCCTCTGTTGTTACTGAGGTAGATCTACTCCCTCCTTTATTAATTTTTCCTTTTTATCGTGATTGCTATGTTGATCACTTGTGGACTCTTCAGACTAGGGGATTCAGACTCTTCTCTTGGGACTTCAGAGATACAGGGTATATGAATCAATGTCTTCCCACCAGGAAAAAGTTCCCTGAGTCTGATCTCAAGTGATTCTCCAGTATCTTACAGTGGAAGGAAGGTCTGTGAAGGCTCCAGAGTCAAGGGAAAGTGATGTTCTTGGAGGTATGACTGAGCCCAGAATCCAGGCCTCCAGTTTCCATGTCCTTGCCTGGCCCATTTCAGTCTTCAGACATGCTTTGAGCTCAATCCAGTCACTCATCAAGCAGCAGACACTGCCTTTGCCCTCATGGACCTTGCAGTTCTAGCGGTGAGAGTAAGATGAATACAAGTGAACAAAACAATGGCAAGTTGTTCAAGTTTGTAAACACCGTTCAGTGAATGAATGAACCAACAACTACTTACTGTGTGCTCTGGAAGGAAAATGTGAAAAATGTCAGTCATAAATCACTTTCTGCTACCACTGCCTTTCCTAGTCTGGAAGTCAGCATTACTTTTCCACCCCTTGGAGACAGTGGGCAGATATTACCAAATGTTAGCTAGTAAGAGCTACCACTTATTGGACCAGATGTCTACCAAAGGGGTTTATAGATCTCATTGATTTTCGCCCTTTGAATTAGGCATCAACATTACCATTGTGAAGATGAGAAAAACTGAGACTCAGGGTTTAAGTAGCTATGTGAAATTACATCCATACAGTATGTGGCAGAACATTTGCTTGGGACACTGGGATATGTATGTGTTTTTATTCCTAACACCTCATAACAAATGCCAACATCTCTTCCCGCGGCCCTAGCACAGAGGGAGCTGATCAGTTTCCCCTCCTGCCCAAAGGCAAAGTGACCAAGGTGGAGGTGCCAAGGTCCTCTCACAGCCTCCTGTCTAGTGGCTATTCCTGCTTCACGGCTAATGAAGAGAAGGACCCGTTTTGCTTTCACAGGCTTTCTCCTTCTATCCCTTGCTGTGCCACCCGTTGTGTGTGGGAGAGGCCTGGATATTGTCAGCAAAAGACTTGAACAAACCAAAGAGCTGATGATGTTGACAAGAAGGGGACCTTAACAAGGCAAATAATCAAAAGTTGATGACTGACAGCCCCTTTCACATCCCTTCACCCCCTGCTACATCAGGCCTGTTACGTGATCTTGATGACAAATAACGAACACTATAAATACATTGTGATTTTCACATGCCTTTGTTCACTTCTTACAGAAAATATGAGAGGTATCCAAGGCTGAGCTTATTACAGGAAAAAAAGTTTATGGGACTAGAACCTTAATTTTATGTAATGAAATTTATATAGTGCTTACCATGGATCACATACTCTCCTAAATAGTTCATAACTTTCTTTTTTTAGAGAGATGGGGGTCTTGCAGCCGGGCGCGATGGCTCACACCTGTAATCCCAGCACTTTGGGGGACCGAGGCGGATGGATCACCTGAGATCAGGAGTTCGAGACCAGCCTGACCAACATGGTAAAACCCCATCTCTATTAAAAATACAAAAATTAGCCCAGTGTGGTGGTGCATGCCCGTAATCCCAGCTACTCCAGTGGCTGAGGCAGGATTATCGCTTGAACCTGGGAGGTGAAAGTTGCAGTGAGCTGAGATCATGCCATTGCACTCTAGCCTGGGCAACAAGAGTGAAACTCTGTCTAAAAAAAAAAAAAGAGAGAGATGGGGAACTTGCTCTGTTATCCAGGCGGGTCTTGAACTCCTGGGTTCAAGCACTCCTTCCACCTTAGCCTTCCAAGTAGCTAGGACTATGGGCCCATGCCACCAGGCCTGGCTCTATCTCATAACTATTAACTTATCTACTCTTTTTTACCACCATATGAAGTAGGAGTTACTGTT